ATAGCTCACATCAAATCAACAACAGTTCAGATGAGCTATCGTCAAGTAACAGTGATATTATAACATGGCGCACAAGGTAGATATGTTTGATAACCCTCTCACTCCTATGAGTGATCAAGACAGAATTTCTCCTTACAATATCAAGCAAACAAGTGATGAGAATTAAAAAAAAAATTATATATATCAATTAGAGGATAATATGTATTAGTTCATCCAATACCAAATTCTCAGAACTAACATCATAAGAATTATAAAACAGAAAGTAAGAAGTTAAACAAAACAAATAAGATCTTGGGAGTAAAAGGGTCAAGTTCTTGTTATTTTTTTCTGTACAATAGAGTTCTATCAATTCAAATGCTCTCTAACGAGAAAGACTGGAACTTTTGAAATAAGTAATTTTCATTGATAAAATCAGTGTCTTCTTGTCTCTTTTCCTTGTACTTTCACTGCATCATCCAGCTACTTAGGGATAAGAGTAATTTAATTTGTCAGCAAGAGTGTGTTATCTTCAGTTGCTATAGTACCAAGTTCTCTTTAGTTAATTAATTTACAAGGAAATGTATAGTAACCAAAAGGTAGAATTCTAACTTGAATCAGATCTTGAGAGTTGAAGAACAAGGCTCCTGCTTCTTGTAACAATAAGCAATATTTATTCTTGTCTTAAAGGAAAAGTCCAAGGAAAAAAGCTCAAGCAAGTTCAAGAAAAAAGATTGCTGAACTCTGTGATAGACTATCTGATTCAGAGGACATGTTATCATCATCGTCACCATCATCAAGTGAAGCATCACAATCAGAGTGATAGCTTAAGACAGAATTGAAGAAGTCTATTTAAAGAAGTATTTAATTAGTGTCTTTCCTTGTCAGTTTTGTTTAATTTTCAGAAAGAAAGAATTGGTGGTAGCAGTCGGTGTGAGGGTCAATGATTCGTCCATTTTTAAAGCTGTATTCTCAGAAGAATCACAGTATTGCTAAAGGTTCTTATCTTAAAGATCCCAGGTTCCCAGCGAGGTGCTTTTATCTTTGACAAAGTTAATCACCTGTGGCACCAGGGCTGTGCTAGAACACACCCCTGAATTTAGACATATTTGAGATCCAAAAGCCTGCATATAGCTTTATGCTGCAAGTAGAAAACAGGGTTGGAACTTGTGATGAGAATTAATCATACATGTTTCCATGATTTTAGGCTGTCCATGCATAATGCAGAGTATTTTCATATTTCCTCTATTAATTTTTATATACTTTTCAATAATCTTGTAACCTTATTTATTTTGCATCAGATGTCTAACATTGTGTTTGCCAAAGATAGAGACTTACACTGTAGTGAAGTGTTTTATTGGATATATCAAATTTTAGTTTTTATTTAAATATTAGTACTATGCATACTATACATGAAGCACAAATGTGCAGCTGGTAAATACCATTATATCCTGGAGACTTACATTCATATGACTTATAGTTTATTGAATTTGAATGAAATACTTAATCAGTGAAACTTTAACCCTTTAACTTCCAAGATGTGATTGTCAATTCTTCCCTCTAGCTGCTAAACATTTCCTTGTTAATAAGTTACAAGAATTTGGTGTTAGATCAGGATAAAAACTTTCACCTGATGAGTGTGAGTATTCTTAGTACCTGTTTCATGGATAATGGGTGGATTTTACTGGGAGAAGTTACATGTCCATCACTTCTAGGAGTTAAAGGGTAAAGTACTCATTTGCTCCAATTAAGAGGGGAGGCTGCAGTTTACATCCCCTTAATAAATGGAAGCTGGAAGGGATTTGATCAGTGACAGAACTGTCAACACATCAACATTTCTTTGTAATATTATTATGTTCACTTGATAGAACCCTGTTCAAAACTGTTTTGCTTTTCCATCTCCAGTACAAATTTGAGATTGGGGAAGGTGGTGATTTACAATATCATTTACAAAATAAATCCATTTTCATTTTTGCTATTTTCAAAAGCAATAGGTAACCTTGACTTCCAGTAAGTTAGTTTCCAGTAATTTATTCCTTTGGTGCTTTTTCAGACAAAAGTTGTGCCTTTGCTGTTCATGAAACACACATCAAAGTGCACTTTAAGATAAAGAGCTGTACCTCAGTCTTATAACACAGCTGTGGTAACCACATCTCACAAAGTGGAGAAATTTAAAACATGCTGTTTTCATCTTGGTGCTGATCTACCAGACTGCCCCTGTCGACCCTGACTTGAGTTTTGAGTCTTTCCCAGAGGTGGTTTCTTTGCCTGGGATAGCTTACTCTTTCCTTTGTCCGTTTTACCTCTAAAGAGTCTGTTTACATCTAATGAGTTGAAAGGAAGATTTGTAGCAGACTTATTTCTTTCTTTTGAATTTGGCATCTGTTGGGCCTTTTGTTCCACATTGGCCATGTCAATGGCTAATCTAGTTGGTGCATAGAGATTGAACCATTGCTGTAAACAGAAGAAATGATTTCCTATTAGTTTCCACCAAGTTTCTGCAGAGATACCAACCCTCAGAAATAAATAAGGAACCTTTTAACTGCAAAAACCATGAACACCAAAAGAGAGAGTCTGCTCTCAAAACTTCATTGCAAGTTGCTCTTCCTTGAGTGAATGCTGGCCTAATGGAAGTAACCTCTGTGCTCTTCCAAAATTATTCCGAACTGTTTCTAGTACACATTTATCATAAACTTCTGGTGTCAACAGTCTTTCCCAACAACACGTCATATTTACCACTCAGTCCATGGGCTCAAACCAGGACCGTCCAATCCAGTGCATTAATCTTAAGTCAATAATAGATGATTGATTAACTTGTTGCAAAATCACAAATTAAGTTATGCCTACCTTTGTTTCTGGACTTAGACCTGTTGCAGTAAAAAGATATTGCCAAAGAGGAAGGCCAAGATGTACTATCATCATTCTGAAATAATCAGTGAAAGATGAAGCAAGATACCACCATTCCAGTGACCGATCAAGAAACCAGATCTCAGGTTGTCCTGTTGTTACTCCTGAGAAAAGAGGACATTGCGATGAGCATTGACAAGTTTTTTCTTCTCTATTTTGGGCACATACCAAAAATCCTCTAATTTTGAGAACTAGCGAACTTGCAGAGAAGAGACAGAAAAAATGAAGGATATTCTAATACCAAGAACTTAGTTGATATAAAAGAATGTCTATGTTTTGATTCAATTTTATCCTTGGTTCAAATTTTATTTTCCTTTGTTTCAAACTTGTAATCATACATTACAATACCCAAAAAAAAAGAAAACAAAATTTGAACCAAAGATAAATTGGACCACAACATCTATGTCAACCATTTGGCAGCTTGGGACAATCTGCAATTTTATTTGAACTGTCCAACTTCACCCACCAGCTTTGATGTCTTTGTAAACCAAACAGACTTTACCATAGCTGTCACATGGATCCAGCTCAAAAACCTTGCAGCGATTATCAAAGTGTGGTTTTATATGACCTGGTGAAGAATTGAAAACAAAGGAAAGAACATCATCTGATGATCACTAGCACTTCTCAGTTTTAGCTGGGACAGATCTTTCTTATTGACAAAATCAAGGTATTCAAGGTCCTGTTTCAGTGGTAGATCCAGGGAGGTAGGATGAGTGGGGATCAGATCCCCCTCCATCAGATCTGTCAAATTTTTGAAAGAAAGCTTCTTGAAATGTGGAATCACATATTCCTTCTTAACAAATATATCCACTTGGCCTGAATCATTCCTTTGCTTATATATGTTAGGGTCCAACGTAAAGAAAAATATTTAGTATTTTTTTTTTTTTTAATCAAAGGATGCTTCCCCTCTCCCCCTCCCTCTGTCAAATTCCTGGATCTGTCCCCATGTTTGGTCAATACCTTGGCCATCTTCTTCATCTGAATCAGTATCTAAATCAGCCAATGAGGGTTTGTCGTCACTAACAGATGTTGCTTTAGACAGCAACACTAGACCTGTAACAGGATTCAGCTCCATTTTTCCCAGTGGTAAAACACTCCCTGATAAAATGGAGAAAATAGATAAGAAACAACGAATCAAACAGTCAAAATGTTCAGTGATGATTCTAAGAAGTCTTACAAGCCAAGTGACCCAAAACTCTTTATGACCAAAGTTTCCTGCTTCCTGTAGCCTGTGAAGGTACCAGGAAACATTTACTTTTACTCGCATTATTTTTTCAAAGATGCATTGTCAATAATTACCATCAAACTTGATGCTCCACTGAATTAACAGTCCATTTGTTGTGAGGAAAAAACTCTTCAAGTCCTCTGGCAAGATACACATGTTCTTCTATGAAATATACAGTGTTGAGAATGGCATGTAATCGTTTTTTGCTACTCATGCATAACACACCGGTCAATATAATGTAACTTCACACGATAATATTTATTCAGAAAATGAATTATTACCTGCTCCCAAGTAAAGATAATGTGTTTTTCCGCTGGTTGTCTATCAAGTAGACGGACATCTGTTACACCTGGCTTCTTTTCTAAAAAAAAAAAGTAGAATAGCGGCATATTGACAGGTGAGCTTACTTCAGATTTTACCTTGAGTTTCATTAAATTTAAATCAGAGATTTGCACAAAAGTTAATTACCCGTTTTCTGTTAAAGTAAGTGTAAATTAAGTATTTGAAAAGAGGACTTACCAAGCGATCGAACTACTCCCAAAGTCATTGAATCAAATAATTCCCTTACTCGACTTTGTTCACTCGAGGACGCCATCTTGATCCCAGGGCAACAGTTTTGGTTAGTTTTTGTCTCCAATAGGGAGGAGAGGGTAGTAGAAGGATTATCGCGTTTGTTTTACGTGATACTATTTATTTATAATTTTTGATATTTATGAAATGTAAAAATTCAATTTTTTCTGTTTTAAGTCACACTAGAAAATTAAAAATTAAAATAGCAAACAAAACAAGTGAGGAACAACAATTAAAAACAGGCCTTACCTACCTACCCATGTTCACCTCAGAGAGCAAAATAAGCCGGGAAACTGGGAAAGAGGAGATGCGTTTTGTTCAAAATGGCGGCAAATTTGGACGAGTCGCTCGAAGACAACATTGATCAATTACCCGAAACAGCAAATCCTGTACCACCCAGAAGCTTTACTGTAGAAAACGAAAATTTAACCAACGAAGAAGAACAGTTATCTGAGATTGAAGAGCACGAAGACGAAGAAAGAAACCCTCTTTTGGAGCTGAAAAAGTGCAAAGAGTGGCTGCAACAGCAGAAGATAAACCATGAGGCTGAATTACTTGTCCGTGAGTTTATTTCAACAACATTTGGTGTTAAATAAGCTTCTATGATTCATGGAATGCCGAAAAATTCGGACAGCTCTACCACCTGAGCGTTAATCAGTGTACAGCCATCCAAATGGACTGTAGCCGAAATGGAATGGGCATGTACATTTCACGTAGACCAGTCGATTTCCCGGCTGATTAAAAATTGTAAAGAGCAAGTGCATCCACTTAATAGAAGTTTAAATTTCGATTAAATATCAGAGCTATCAATCAGCATAAAAGTACAAGGCAACAAAGGAAAGGAGGCGGTCTGATTCTCGCGGACGCTAAGCTGTTTTCAGGAAATTGTTTGTGTAACCGGTTGATGTCGGCGGCTTAAAAGAGGGTTGACTGAAATTGATTCAGATGGTTATTTAACCTTTTACAGGTGGTGATGGCATCTTAAATTGCACGTGCAGATGTGGCAGATTAGAGTGCTTTGAAACATACATAAACTTCTGTGAGGGGAGGGGGGAGGGGCTGAGCTTCCCTCTTATTTTCGCTTGGAGGAGCTGTAGCTTCCCCTGCCCCCTCCTGCTCCACTGCCTATGGTGTGGTATTGGAAGGGATTAACTGGAGGGCCATGAACTAAATTGGCTGAGTAATGATAACTGGATAAGTAGATAGCCAAGCTGGTTGTGACTCTGTTGTCGTACAATCAGACAATCACTTTTGACATTTTTTTTCCTTCTTTGCCATGATCAGCAATGCAATTTTTCAAAACTGCACCTAATGGTAATCTCTTATAATAGTCAATTAGTGGTATGTTTCATGTAAATCGTTGCAATTCATCATGAATAATTTTTACAACTAAGGATAGAAATTAATATTAAGCTTTTCTCCACAACCATCAGCATTTGATCTGAATTAATTTCTTTTGTGAAGGACGCCTCCAGCAATGTGAGGACCAACAGCCTTCTACAAGTGTGTCATCGCAGTCTGATCTGTATGAAAGGTGTGTACAAATAAATCTCTGATTGAACAAAATTTAGGAGCCATGTGCAGGTTTCAATTTGACAGTCAAGCTTACCTGTAAGCTTGGGACATAATTTTAAAGAATATTTGTACAGGATTTTAATTTCATAATTTAAAGCATCTGTGGCTGAATCTTGATAATGGCAACAAGTTTTTGAATTTTGGTTTGTCTGATAGTATATTTATATTAAATTTGGATTGATATATCAGTTGCTGAGTTGATAGTTTTTTATATATATCTAATCGCATGATCAGTTGTGCTTGGGGTATAGGGATACGCTGTTATAGAGTTAATAGTTATTTATTTTTTGTCTCTCTCTCTCTTTCCTTTTAACTTTTTTTTGTTAATGTTTGATATAATTATAGGATATCTAAGTTACAAGATCAGCTGTATTCCCTTTCAACTGCTCGCTCATACAAGAAGCTTCTCCTGGACAGGTCAGTTACCTTCGATCTTAACAGTTATAACTTTTTTATGTTTTAGTGCCTTCCTTCAGAGGGAAAGGAGTTGTTCTGAATGCTGTGTGTTTGTTTTGTTGTCTTGTAGGCTTCTGTGTGGTGACCGGTTGATAAAAAAACTGTTCCCAGATGTTGTGACAGACTCACCAACAGAAGAACAAACTGAAGAAATGAGGTAATTATTTATAACGTATAAAAATTCTAAGGAAGAAAATAAAGGGATCAGTTAATCCCATAGGCTTTTAAGATAAGAAAATTGGTCGCGAAGAATGGATCCATGAGGAAATGCTTTGAAATGTGAGGCACAAAACCTACAAATTAAATTAATTTGATTTTGGTTTATTTCCCAATTTAATTCACACCCAATATGAAATACCCCTTGTAAGAAAGATGACTTTAATCCTTTACACCCTAACATCAGTATGCAAGTTCTCCATACTGCTCTCTCAACATTTCCACTGGTACTTACCAGGAGAATTTGTCAACCAATCAAGAGCTTCTCGAATTTGTGATCATTAATTCTTTATTCTTTTAACCGAAATTTGTTATTCAGGGATGATACTATTGGAAGAAATAAGATGCTTTTTAGTTTTAGAAGGTGCTGATTGACATATACCTTGTGCATGAGAATATATCTTTTTTGAAAACAAAAACTTGCTCAAATTTGAATTTGGTAAGGTGTAACAAAATGTGGTGCCTTTTTAAGGACCTTATATTGATTTTGTTAGCTCTGTAATGTTGTGTGGCAGAATGCTCAACATTGTCAATCAATTTTAACAATGAAAGTGAATATTATTTAGCATTATTGTTGAAGAATTTTAATGATGTGAAACCTTTTTTTTTTCAGGATACAGGGAATAGTTTCCATGCATTAATTCATTTATTTTTAATGTTTTTTAATTTTTTTAGAGCTTTTGTTAAATTATGTGAAAAACAGAACAAGCTTAGCACTGAGATTCTTGTGGAACATGAGGTTTGTTTTGGAAGTCTTTTGACTTATGAGACTTAACTGTGCCTCTGAATAACATGTCAACTTTGTGGTTGAGCCAAAATTGTGATTTGTCTTAAGCTGTCTTCAATTACCTTCATTATGGCAACAATTTAAAAGCGGAAAAAAACAAAGTAGACCAGAATCCTCTAATTTCGTTTTATGACATATGAAACTTTGTCTATCTTGTAAAGTTTAATACTTATCAACCTTACTGCCCCATTTCATGCTAGAGCTTATCCTGATTTCTTTGGCATAAAGCAACCAGTCTGAGAATGACTGAGAACACCCTTCCCATAAAGGTTGCTTTTGTATCACAGGTAACCATAGTCTGCCAGTACCCACTGTACTACTGGGGGGAGAGGGGTGAGGGAACAATTGTGGTGATGAGGTGTCTTGTCCAAGAACACTCAAGAATACATCAGTGACCCAGACTTTTAGTTGCGGAGTTAAGCGCACGGCCCACTAAGCCGTTGCATCATCCATTGTAATGATATTTTTATATCGTCATCGTTTTTTTTCCATAGACATTATCGGAAGCACAGACTCTTTTAGACAAGCTGAAACGGCAAAGTTATGGTAAGGCATCTCACCGGAATGTCACAACATTTAACCATTTGAAGGGAAAGTTTTACTTTCAATGTTAATTTTAAGATTGAAACATGATCAATTTTTTTCGGTGTTCTCCTCTTTCCCCTGCCTCTACCATAGCTTGCAGACAGGACACCGTTATTAGCGCTGCAGCACGCGCCTTTTTTCCACCAACGGGAAGATTTGAGACGAGTCGGGGTGAGGTTTGTCAGGGGTGTGGTCCTCACTCTCGGTTCTAGACCCCTTGTAGACGTCTCGCTGACTCGCGTTACCGTCAAGGCCTCATACTTTCCTACGGGAGAAGAAATAATAATGAGGGCTTATAGGCTACATCTACTAAAAGCGTCTCTTTTGCTTCATTTTTAACGTGAAATGGTACATGAACATCAATCGAATCTTTTTACAGAGATAAAAAAGGAAAACCGAGGACTTATGAAACACCTTCAGGTAAGAAGACTAATATTGTGATTTGCATACATTGAATTGCAGCAATTTGTTTTAACTATTTCTCATTTCTTGTGAGGTTCTAGATTGCGGGATTCAGTGGTATTCTGGTTAAACAGTTGTAGCGTTTGAACACAATAGTCGCATAACCCCAACGTTAGGCCAGTCAGAAAGCTTTCTTTTTTTCTTATCACAATTAAATGAAACAAACCTGCGGGTGATAAGTGAAAGAAATCATATCTGCAGGACAGCTGAAATGAAAGACATCGCAGGAAAGAGGCCTGAGGAAATTCAATCCCTGCCAAGAGGGCGAGCGAGATAACGTTTCGCGAAGCTTTCGAGCTCGCTTTGCTAAAAAAAAAAACAAAAAACATTGTAGAGAGGCAATATCAACTTTAGACAGGCCTCTTCAACATATCTCTCACTCATGCTGGTTGTCCTCTCTTCCGACAGAAACTTACAGACGACAAGGAAAATGCTTCTTCTGACCCTTCAGATAGCAGAGTAATCCAAAAGTAAGTGCAGAATTTCTTATGAAGCACATTAGTTATGGACATGTTGAACATTTCTCCTTGGAAAATCAAACATAATATATCCAATAGAACCAAATTTAGAACTCTTTCCCTAAAAAGTATCATGTCGCGGCAGTTAAATCAACTGTAAACTTAGCGGCATCAATTTTGAAACAGCTATATTCAATTCGTTAAAATTTACCGTTCTGCGAGGCTTTAACCGGAAAAGGTAAATGCTAAAGTTGAGAGAAGATCTACCGATTTTATTTCGAGGGTCCCCAAAAACTGTGTGACGGGATTTCCACATAACACCAGTATAGTGATATCGATTGCCATGATTCAAACTTCAATCCTTTGGTCAACACATGTGAGAATCGATCAACTGCAGAGGGGGAAAGTTGGTTTTTTTAGCGCGCCGAGGGTAGCCGGTCAGAGCGCAGGAGAACTGTTTCCAGCCACAATTATCATTATTATGGCCCCTTCATTGAATCAGACGCAAAAATAAAACCAATTTTTAACGTGGTTACTTGCGTTTCACGCTCTTTAGCCAGTTATCTACTTTGATGTCTCTGTGATTGTTCCATGTATCTTTCTTCCGAGAGGATTTAACGCTTTACACCTAACACATCAGTAAGCATATTCTCCATACTAGTCTCTATACATTTCCCATGGTGCAGACAAGGAGAATTTGTTTAACCCTAAAGAGCTTCTCTACTTAGTGATAATTTTCTGTACTCTCGTAACCCTAACATTTAATTCAGAGGTGATATTATCAGGAGAAATTAGATGCTAGTCACTCAGTAGGGCTTAAAGTCTTTAGGATTACCTGAGTTCTAGTTCCAGGACACTCGCTGCTCTATCACTAACACCGGAATGAGGTTACCAGAGTTGATTACAGTAATAAATAGGATAAAAACTGGTCGCTCGGAAAAGCTACCGGAACCGAAAGACCGGCGGAAATTAATTTTAAGCGACCGAAGTTTAAACGTTTAGCGAATTCATTCGTAAGGATAACGGCCCATTCTTATTTGGTGGTGTTGTTGTCTTATTTGCTCTTTTTGAAAATTTTTCATAATATTTTTCATGGTGATTTTCGCAAAGTTATGGTCTTTTAATGGATTAGACATTCATAACATCGTCGATAAATTGTAAAATGGTTACAAATACCAACGTCTGTACAGTTACATTTAAAACAAAGCCCCCTTTTAATTGAACAACACTAAAGTCATGAGAATAACCAGAATGATCTCAAACTCAGGAAGCTCTTGATTGTTAGAACAATTCACCTTGTAAGTACCGATGAAAATGTACAGAGAACAGTATGAAAAACAAGCATACTGATGTTAGGGTGGAAAGGGCTGTTAAATATCAGTAATTCACATTTAACAGTAAAAAAAAGTGTAAAAAAAAAAATTGGCTTCTCACTGTAAGGTTTGACGGAGTTGTTTAACCTTATTATCACATAAGTGAAAATTAATTTTGTGGAAATCAGTGCTTCACTTGATTGATAACTAGGAAGTTGCCGCTTATGAAAATTAACGGGAATTTAATTAGAGAGCTATTCCATTGATGAAGTGTGAATTTCTTCTAATAAGATAACTGTGAGATACCTCAAGTTAATTCGCCCGGCGAAGTAACTTGAGGTACTTGTGGTAGTTTATCTTTAACAAGACAAACTACCACAAGGAGTGCGAACAGCTTAACCCTTTTACAATCTAACATCAATATGCATATTCTGTCATACTGTTGGTGCTGATAAGGAGAATTTGTTCAACAATCAATCTTTTAAACCTAACAAAGTGTTTTATTTCCCAGGTTAAAACAGCAAATTGGACTCACAGTAGAAAAAATAGACATCCTCAGGAGTGTGTTCCAGGTTTGTGCACTTCAATCTCTTAATAAGCGCAGAGTTTACGACCTGAGGTGATAAAAAAAAGGAAAACATAACTTTGTAGCCTAATGTTATGGTGAGGTACACGCTCGATATGAGCTAAGTGTGCGGACCTTGTGAAAAGGTTAACGGTATTTTACGGTCTTCACGGCATCGTGACGTGCGAAACGCAGCCTTGGACCCTATTAACTCGGAGATGCACTAAGGGTGACGCTGAGTGTCGGAACGTAATTCTGCCGCACTCCGATGTCTTCATATGTACGCTCCCTAAAAGCTCAGCGAAAGAACCGTAAGGAAGGTTACCGGTTTGTACGACACGTTACGGGGCGTGCGAAACAAAACCCTGTTCCCTGTTATACTGAGGTTCAAGCGAGTTCAGCGTACGAACCGTAAGCAAGGATGATGGTTTTTACGGTCCATACAGCGCGCACGAAGCAAAACCATGTATCTTGTTGTTATCCTTAGATGTGCACTCCCTATGACCTCTGCGTATGGACTGTAAGCGAGGTTAACAATCCATACGAAGCGTACGAAACGTAACCCTGTACTCTGATGTCATGATACGATGCACGCTCCGTATGAGTTCAGCAAACAGACCGTAAACAAGGTTATAGTTCATACGTTTCGCAGGGAACGTGCGAAATAAAAACTTGTGTCCTGATGTTATAGTGAAATGCAAGCTCTATTTGAACTCCGTTTGATAAGATTAACTGGGTTTACAGTAAGTCACGGTACGGGGCACACGAAAGCTAACCCTTGAACCATGATTTTATATTGAGATGCACGGTCCACGGGAGCTTTGCGCACGAACAGCGAACTACACTCTCGGACAAATTTGTGGGGAACCTGCCTCCCCTGCCTTTCTCAGTGACAATTAACAACATTGAAAAGCGGAGGGGGGTGAAAGAAGATTATAGACGTTGTTCCAGAGAAGCGACCCAACTACAGTCGAACCTGTATTATGTGGTTACCCACGGGGAATGGCAGGGTGACCGCTCAATACATGTTGACCTCTAAATACAGTCCTTTAGAATAGGGGTATGATAAAAAACGATAAAAACACCATTTTATGTTTTAATTGACCTCTTATGCTCAAAAACTCGCGTCAATATACTACCAACTTTGATTTCGGGAGATAAAAATGGATTGAATTTTTCTTGATAGATTATTGTTAGTTTTATTTGAGTGGTCCCACTTTAAGTGACCGTTCAATACAGGTGAAAGATTAGTAAAGACTCAGTAAAGGGTGACCACGACCTCTAATTAGAGGTGACCACTAAACAGAGGTGAAAATTACAGGAATTAAGTGGGAAAATTCATGACTTTGACAACCGACCGTTAAATACAGGGAATCCGCTTAACCCTTTACATCCCATGAGTGATCAAGAGAGAATTTCTCCTTATGCTATCAATACAATATCAAGCATGCAAGTGATGAGAATAAAGTAAAATATCAAGTTGGAGATTATTAGTTAATCCAATACCAAATTCTCCAAATTGACATCAAAAGAATTGTATGTCAGATAGTAAAGAGAATTACCAATGAGATCTTGGGAGTCTAAGGGAATGTAGGTTACCTGTTTGAACGGAGCACGCGACCTGTCATCAACAATTATAGTTCAGTAAAGCTGCGGCAGTGTTAGACTTGAATGGTATTATATATGAAGGGCTTGTTTAAAAGTCAGTAGTCTTGGTGTAGTTTTGCAAAGTATTGTATGCACTGTAAACTAATCTCAAACCTTTATCCCAATCACTGTCTCCTTTTGATTCTTAGAAGTGTCTTTTCTTTTCTGTTTTTGCACTGATAGTAGCCGGTAAATTCACAATGCATCAGAGGTGTCCTAAGTGACAACATTTTTGTTTCAGGGTATTGTAGTAGGAAGTGGTATTGACTGGGCGGTGGACGAAGAGATGCGACGTCTTGTTCTTAGTCTTGGAGAGCTACTAGAGTTTGCGACATGACTTGTCCTCGTCCGACAGCAAAACTGAGCTTCCCGTCGCTCGCACTAGTAGGAAACAACTACTGAGCTAGTGGAGTGTCGAAATGAACTCACAAAACTTGAATGTCTCACACAGATATTTATTTGACAATGATAACATGGATGGCTCACTTTTTAGTCAGGAGTTGCATCTTGGCCCTGCTGTCTTACTTAATCTTTTACACCCTAGTATCAGTATGCTTATTCTCCTTACTGTTCTTTATAAACCTCCTATCGTGCCAACTAGGAGAATTTGTTCAACAATCAAGAGCCTGTTTAGTTGGTGATCGTTTCCTTTATTCTCCTGACCTTAATCATAGAGCGTCTCATCGTGGCCTCCATGATTAGCTAAGATGCGAACATACGGCATAAAGTAAATACTTAGTTATATTATACTGCTCTTCAGTGACTGTAATCTACGTTCTTAAAAGTTTTAGCACATTGTATCAGGGTCAAACAGACACTGTAATATTATAGACTATTTGTACGAAAACATAAATATACGTTATTGATCAAGCTTGTGAGGTCAAGATAGCAGGATGTTGGCCGAGTTCTTTGTTCAATGAAGTTAAAAAAACAATTCCGAGCTCTTACCACTGAAAACCTTCTATTTCCCTAATTGTTAGCCAAGAAGCAGATGGCTTTTGGATTTTCTCACACGATTGTTTTTTCAAAACATGATGATCAGGTTTCAAAATCGTTTAGAATCTGTTTGGTTTCTACATCATACAGAATCAAAACTGTTTATCACAGCATGATAATAATAATACAAATCTGGAATTCGTCGCGTTTCACAGCATTGCTTTGATTAACATGAAGTTTTTTTTCTTGCTCGGTGTCGCAATCGCAATCAAACTTGTGCCACGAGGTTCATGGTGTGTCTAGTCTGTCGGATCTTCTCTCATATGCAAAATGTTATGGAGAACATCCGATGTAAATTGCCAAGCTTAATTCAAACCTTTTGCTAATTAGCGCTATCACAAGATAAGAAGAGCGCACGAGATAACTGAATATCAGATAAGCTCAGAAATTAATGACAAATCTAAACTCAGCCGCGGCTACAAGGCTGTTCTATGGTTTTAATAAACTTTTCCATGGGTGGTTTCTGATTGTGTAATAGGCAGCTGTGCCGGGAGGCGAAATCCAACCACGAGAGCCTGCTCCAGGCTGAACAGTCGGCGCTGAAAGGTCTTACGGGCGGCGGCCTACAGCCATTATTGAAACCCCTCCGTGTGTCACTTGGAGTGAAATAACTTCGACTGATACATTTTTTTTTTTTTTTTTTTTTTTCAGCCGCATGTTGTTTTATGAAGCCTTTTTTTTGTCTCTCGTGGCTAAGATCAGTGACTTCTGTTATCTCGATGTGGTGGAGTTATCAAAACCATTAGATCTCTTTATTGCTTTTTGAGTGAGTGTAACACAAACAGCAATTCATCATTAGATTGTCATCGCGTTCGGTATCAGTGACTGTTGAATGGATGTGAGGACACATTCAGTCATTGTTACGGCAGTGTGCCACAGCTAAAAATGCTACGAAAATGGAAAGAATTCTGTGACTGTAGCCTTAAGGCAAAAATTAGCAACCTGGTAGTATATCAAAGGGCTCGGGAGTGAGACAAGGGTATAAAACTTGCATGCGGGATTGAGGCTACCTCCAGGAATAGCTACCATCTGCAAGCCATATGAAATAGTTGTTCATTTTATCTCTGTATTGGTCTTGAGTCGGTACCATGTGTTGACGTGATTCTGCCCCAAGTTTACCGGGTTGTGGGTGCTTTAGCTAGCTGTCACTGTTTAACCTTTCCTCGTTAGAATTGTTTAGATTCGATTTTTCAATGTAGCAGCCAAAATGATGGTAACTGCTTGCTCCGTCTGCCATATTTTTCGGTTGACAGATTACTATTTGCGTGCAATTACCTCAATAATTAGTTTTTAAAAATGTGAAATTTCGTTTTGATTGCTTGGTCTCTCTCTGTGTTGTTTGCCGGAAAGAGTGTTGACACCGACTTTGTTGACAGGTGAACATTCACAAACATATCTCTAAAATCGTCATGATCTCTGTGTAACTGAAAATAAAACAGTCGTCTTGGCAAGCTTGCAGGCCAATCTTCATCTCTCTATTGCTGCATCTGCAACGAATTCGACAAGTTTTCAAATAAACTTGGGCCCCAATATTTAAGGATTGAATTTTAGAGCTTTCATTTCCTTTCTTCTGCTCGAGAAGGGTATGATGGGGCCAACGTCTTGCTGCTTTTAATCCTATTGCTCACTATAGAAAACTGGCTGCAACGCTATAAACCTAAACAACACTTTCCTTCAACTCTGGAATACAGTTCTCGGTTTTCACTATTCAAACTTTCTGTGTTTGGCGCATTAAACTTGCTTAAGCCTTTTATAGATATCCCTTAAACTCAACTCTAAACAAATTCCAGAGCGCCAGGTAAACTTTCAAAGGAAACCAACGAATTGGATTTACTGCATGCTTTAGGCCTGGCATCTTAATGATCGCTCGAGTTTTCCCCCATCTGCTCTAATGCGTCTTCGTTCGAAAACGCATGCTTTATAAGGCGTTCTTCGCCAATCATCCGAACGCTTAAACACTCGAAAACAACGGAGACTTACCAGCGAAAAGGTTGAAACAAACCGTTTTTAAAAAACAAATACGTTTTTTAAAAACGCACCGTTTTTTAAAACACATCGTTGCTTGTGTGAACAGGTGGAAATAGGCTTGCAGAAAACTGCGACGAAGTAAGCGTTAGTAGAACTGTCGCTTCCACCAGCGTTTTCGGGCCTTTTAATGTGAGGGAAAAGTAAAGATGCATTTAAAGGTATACGCTTCCAAATAAAACGTATTAGAGCGGTTGAGAGCAAAACAAAAACTTACACTAATGTGGTTTAAAATATTTTGCTTCGCTCATCTGAGACAAAAAAAAAAACTATAGAAAACACATTAGTGTGGTCTGGACACTTGAGACAGTTGTATTGATCCGAGCCGGCGATTATATACGAAAGCCATCCGGCCCTATTCGTCTTAGGATCGCCTAAAGCGATCAACAGAGACGATCAGAACGATAAGCGTTGCAAACTAGGCTCTAAACATGAATCACTTGTAGGATCTGCCGCTGTTCGATTTCGTTGCTGTCTAGGCCTGACCGTTCACGACGTCTAAGAATGTGCTTTTGATTTCTTTCCAACTTGAACGTAAAACAGCTGGCGGAATTTCAATGGAATTGACTTACATCGGCGTTCAACATTCATTTTTAATTTTAAATAGTATTTCATAACGTCACAGACATGGTGTTTCGTGCCAAGGGCCTCTAGCTATTTTGGCTTTCATGTTGAATTTTGTTCCTCATTGCCCCCGCAAAGTTTTATCAGTAGTAAGCATTACTTCGATCTTTCCTGTAATGAAATTATTGTTCTTTTCTACTACTCCATTACTCTTTCAACGGATTTTTTGCAATTGGTGTTTGTTTAAAATGTTTTTGTGCCGTTTCGACCTCGAAATGAAGCCAGCTCAATTTTATTGCACTTTCTAATTTATCAGTTTATTTATTTATCGCGAATATTTAACCAGGCTGGTCCAGTTCAGCTTCGAGCTGTTTTGAATTTGGATCTACTTCATTTGTCTCATTCTTTTTAATTTTTTTTTCAGTTCATTTTTTTGTTATTCATTTTTCGAACAAAGTGTGAAAGTGTTGAAATGGGTGAAAAAAAAAACATCAGAATGTAAACCCTTTTCCTTAACGAAGCAACTCGATGGAAGGCCTTCAGCGGAGAAAGGCAACAACATTCCTTTTAAATTGGTTGAAGCTTGGGAAGAATGTTCTGGCAAAGTGCGATAATACAATTTATTTTACAATTTGAACCAACCAAATAATCATCGAAAACAAGCTATGGAAAAAAAAGCTTTACAATCTGTGTGAATTCGGCAAGTCTGAGTTGTAGTTTTTAAATAAAGAGCAAATAGACATAATGATGTTTTACGTAGAATTTAATTGGGACGTGCAGGAACTTCCAAATGCGAAAAACACCTGTCGAACTGAGTAAGGCCTCAGAACTCCCTGTGCGATTTAACTATTCCCACGTTTACCGCACCTAAATCTTTTTGTTTATTTAACACTTTGCGTTAAGCTGACGCTAGACTTAACCTTAAAGGCTTTTTCTTTCTTTTCTTTTTTTTCCTTGAAGATAGATGTCAAGATATGTTGATGAAAATGGGCCGAAATACTATTAACGATGTCTGCGGTACATTTTTTTCCGATAGCAAAATGATAATTTGAATAACATACCAGTTTGCGCCCATCCTGTTGGTTTGATTTGCAGGATAACAGGGAAGTCAATTTGTGTTTGAATTTACGGCTATTTTTACTTCATTTGTTTCATCTAGCTGGCGCTATGCCATTCGCGCGTAACCCCTCACTTTCTGACGAATCCTTCTATAAATACACTTTGTTATATCTGTGTCTTAATACTAGACAGGTTTGTTGATTTTTGCTGACATTAATTCGGAGATAATTAAAGCATTGCTGGCAAACATCCTTTATAAGAGGTATTTATTTTTCTTTGATATAATTTCCCCTTATAATTACAACTTTTCTTTCTATCCCGTCAAACAGCATCGAATATTACCGCGAACGACGCTATGCCACTTTAATTTTTTCCAACTTCCTTAAAACCTTGTTGTGCCTTATGAATTAGCTCATTTCTTTATGCGAATTATTAAATTTCTCTATGTATTTCGGTCTCTTGAGAAAAGTACTTCGATCTATTTGTGTGGAAGTAACTTTTTAAGCATTTGCCGTCATTTGCAATTTCTGGGGACAAAAAAATTCCTTAAGACAATTTGTCTGGGAAGGAATTAAGGAACCGGTATGGCACGCTCGAGCGAATAAGTTTTTAATATTTCTCGCCTATATTCACGCGGTAAACGGAGGCGTTTCGGCAATTTATGCGTTCTTAATGGTCGGCCAAGAACACAAAAAAAACACATTGTGAAGATATCATTCGCCGGATATTGAATTTCGACTCTAATGGAATACTTGTACTTTTGTGTCGAACCAAATTTGTTTCACCTAGGTGTCTGTCGTTTTTACTTCATTGAGTGAGCTTCGTTGATGTTATCACAAGTTGGGGCTCTAGCTCTGTCCATAACCTCTGGGCTCTCTCGGCAGCCGTTTTGAAAACAAATCAGTCTGCTTAATTGTAACCGAGATTTTTTTTTTATGGAAATTCCGTAAATGGTTGCTCAATAACACAACCAAGCCCAAAGACGGCCCGACTTACATAATCGCCTTGATATGTTTTCGACACAATCAGGTTTCAGTAATTTTCGGTAATAAACGTTGTCAGGACTCAATAGAGAAATTATCTCGACCCTTTGATTAATTTTATCGAGCGAAGATTGCTTTAATTACCCCTGAATCACCTTGATCTGATGACCCGAGTGGATGTTGATTCAACTCCCCAAAATCTTGACCATGGTTACATTTAATAAAAACACTTCTTGAAGATATTGCTGAAAAATGCGCTGAGTATGGTAGTCTCTACCTGTTAGCTACTGAGGTTTGGCCCACTATCTTCTCAAACTATTATTTCAAAGAGTTGCCGAAGGACAAAGAATGACTTTGCATTTACACCAAAGTTATTTTCAGCATGAGTGAGTATCACTCAGTCGACAGGACGAGATCGCTTATTCTGTTAATGATGATCTGTCGCTACGAAGACGAGAAGCGTATCAGATACCATCAGACGTCTCAAAATACTTCAACTCGCCAAGCAACGCGATTTTAGGACGCAAACGGTTAGATTACTTTTGGAATCGATCATAATAGCGGTCGCACTTTTCAACTTTAATAAACAACAAAGAAACGTTTAATTAGTGAAGGTTTGAGTGGGTAATTGTACTAGAATTTTCAACGAGGCCGGGGCAACGTTTCCTTCTTCAAAACGGATTTAGCGAAATTACCAACACTCATTCCTCGGGACAGTTGGAGTTTATTGATCAAATTATACATGACTGTCTGATAGCTGAATGTATTACCTACAACCATTCCGTGGTTTCCGGCCCTTGAAAATTTGAATTCGGTCTTAAGTCGGGGGTTTTGTTTTGACAAGCTTTTTGTTTCGATGTTATTAGTTGATTTATTGGGAAAATAGAGGCGATCTCGGACAAAGCATACAGGAACCAATCAGAGGGCGTTGATGTTCAAGCCCCATTCTTCCGGCCGATTGCCTTGTTTCGGTTCAATTTAATCGCGAAATTGCCAAGATTACTGGTGTGTGAAGGCGTTCATGCGGTGAGATCTGTTGTTGGTTGTCGATAAGTACCATCTTGACCTCGAGCGCTACATAAGTATACCAGAAGTGTTTGCCCCAGTTTGTTAAATCAACGCTACTTGAGAACGTGCGAACAGGTCCGCGGGAACGAGAGCGCGAAAACCGCGACGTGAATCAGTTCAAGTGAAAACTTCAAGCGACCTCTTAGATTGACAGATACAAGCCATTAAGCAATCACACAAGTCTGCTCATCGCAAGCTTTTCAGTGAGACACTTGTAAGCTAAGCCGAGTTCGACAACTGAACGGGCCTCATACAAAAAACGACATGGAGATTGCGCGTGTCTGTCTCTTCTTCTTTGTTTCACTCATCGTTCTCGCTGCGATAGACGGTCGTAAAAGAACCAGGTGAGTGGATTACTATTTTGTTATTTGTTTCAAAGTGTGAACGTTTCTCCGTGAAGCGAGAATTGCCTGGTTGGTGATTGACTCGCGAAGAGAAATTTTTGGTCGCGAGCTACATGCTCCACAACACAACTGCTAGCGCGTGCAAAGTCTTCATCAACCACGATTGGGTGGTCTCCGAGTCTAAGCCGTAGATTTACTTTGAATAGTCGCGTCTCAGTAGTCTTTCTTTATACTTTGCAGGTCACCTCGCAGCCAAGATGCCTTGAGCTTTTGTTCATGGCTCAAGGATAACCAACAAAAGAAGTGCGAAGCGCAACCTCTGCTCGGCTTGTCCGCGCGAGATGGCGTCGAACTGGCGTTAAAAGAGTGCGGGAATATTTTCAAGGATCGTCGATGGAACTGTTCAGGTGTTACCATTGCAGACGTTTTTCAAAGGCAAAGAATGCTCAAAGCTGGTAAGTTGGGTATAATTTTTCCTTTTAATACCCACTTCGTTCTAGCGTTCCCTTCTTGCTTCCGCTTAGCAACTCTCTACAGTTACAATATCATAACAAATTTCCTGTCCACTCGTTATCTCTTGAGATTTATTTAAAAGCCAAGTGGTGAGATAAGCTGCCTTGTTCGCTACTGTCTTAACTATCGTTAAGGTGGGAAATACTTGTATTACAACTGGCCTCTTTGCGGTGAGTATATACAGACATGGACCAACTGCACAACAGATGTGTGTTGACCAGACGGAAAGAAAAAAAAAACATCTGAGAAAATGTTTTGTTGCAGAAATCCTTTTCATTCGCACTTCTAAGGACCTCTTCAGACCGTGTCTATCACACAAAATTGTGGTCTGGATTACGTTTAGCAGACTCTGCAAATGTTGCGTGGCTTTTTCTAAGCCAGAGAAGGCCCTGAGGCTTTAAACCGCCTCGCGCTCTTTGACGCAACGCTCCACATTTCAATTTACCTGTGGGGTGCTCGTTTTAGTAGATTTAAAGGTTTTGTTGGTTTTTTGGAAATCTCAGCGCCCTCCTTAAGTGATCTGTGTTTCTATACAGTTCTAAACAACCTTTCAACAACAGTTTTTGTTTGGCGCTCGATGATAACTGTGTGTTTGTAGCTACTGAAAGTTTTTGTTTGACTAAACATATCTGGCGATTCTACTTCTGCTTTCGCAATCGTCAACCTTGTCTATATGACTTAATCGGTACCTGTGTTGCACATGTGAAACGAATTTACCAGGCTTGAGAAATGTCTCGGGAATTTGCATCGAAGCAAACAGAGTCTTGATCCAAAAGTCAAACACGTTTTAGGAATTTTAGTCCCTCCTTGCAATGATTCACAGAGCCTCAAATATCGCATTCCTCCCGAGGAAATATTAATTTCATCGGGTGCCGTGTAACAGAGATTCACCCTGTAAGTTGGTTGCATACCAGACCACGATCGACCTAAACGCTAAGGGAGATCATTGTGTGAGGGAGATCATTCATGGATTTGCGGCCTTTGCAAGCTATACAAACACAATCAAAACGTGCTTTCTGTTGTCTTTGAAAACTACACCTGACTATTCCTGAAGTCAACCCCAAAAAAGGCCCGCCTGAAAACGCGCTATGCGAAAAACGGCTGTTTAAGATATTAGTTGCGGGAAGGCTGGAGCACGATCACTTTATATCATTCCTTTTTATCCACGTTATCTGGGGCCGCGCAGACGTTGAAATATGTCTTCGTATGTGTACACAGCCTCGATAAGTTAATGCCCCTCGAGGAAAGCTTTGACATAAAGTGTCATTTTGTTTATAACGGGTGTCGTGTAGCAAATCTAGTGCGCTCGTATCAACTTCTGTGTCGTAATGGTCACTTTTCAATAGAGTTATCGGATAACTCGCGTCACTCGACCTTTTTTTTCTTTGGCGGCTTTCGACAATTATCTAAAGAACACTGGTAGACATTTTGAAAACAAACACTTTACAACTTGGGGTGAACAGTTTCAGTGTGTACGATGTTCGTGTTTGCGTCTGCCTTCCTTAGGAAGACCACGTTCGGCTGGAAACTCAATTGCCGTTTCTTTTTTGAACGCTCAGTGAAAAAAATACCCCGGTCGTGTTGCGCTTCACACAAACGTGGGCAAGCTTATCTCAGGAAGAAGCGAATAAGTTACAGAAATTAGCTTCACCTGCGTCAGTGTTTTACGCTTCCTGTGAAATTTACCGCAACATAAAAAAGTAATTGACGTCACATACTTTTGTCTGGCTTCTTTTGACTCTGTAAACACTGAAACACGGAATACTTTCTCTATTGCGGAAAGAAGTCAGGAGTCAAAATGTCTGTTGTAAAAAATTGTGGAATGGATTTGTTGTTATAACAAAGAAGCGTCGTCTACCTTGAAATGGTGGACATTATTGGCGCTCAATGCTTGAACAATTTTTTTTCCCGTTTTGAGTTAATTTACTAAAGAAAATTACCCTTAAAAACTATCTATCCATGAATAATCCCAAAAGATATCTATTCTGCCGAGGTATCATTAATCTATTGCTTAATAATTGCGGTCTCTTCTCGCTATTATCGAGTTGTATACCCTAAAGGCATTAATTGCTTTTCGTAACCTTTGTTCTTGTGTGAAATAGCCGTTTGCCAAAATTGCTCAACATGAAACACGAAACAAAACTTCGGGCGGTAATTGCATAGAATCGAAGTAATTGAGGGTTGTGCAAACGATCAGAACTTCAAACAAACTTTGCCAATTTTCTTTTAAATTAACTTTTAAACAATAGCTTTGTCATGGCAGGTTAGTCTTGCGTTGTTTTAAAAGAATAGTATTTGAATACCTTTGCTTTTCCTGTGTTAAAAGCTTGGCATTGAAGTTCTGCTAAGAACCAAACGAAACCAAACGAGTAAGTTTTTTCTGTGCCTTTTGTAAACAAAACAAATCAGAAAACTGTCCTAGGTGATGGTCGCGCTGTTTGTTCACAAAATCCCTAAATGTTTATTCTGTTAAAATTCTTGTTGGCTGTTTCTCTTGTTGGCCTAAGTTTAAATCTCGAAATTTTCGCTTCTTGTTTTTAAAATATTCTTACGATTCTCTGATCCAAATTATTTTTTTCTTGACATAAGAAAGGACAATAACTGTGCCATAGCGAACAAGTAGATTACAAGAAAACAAGAAGTTGTTAACACTTTTTCCTCGATGTGTCATCTCTTGGCCACCCATGCTTCAACTATCTTGGAAAAAGATTTATGGTATTCGTTAAGATAAAGTATCATCCCCAAACTGATATCTGAGAAGGTCAAGCTTAGGTAATATTTCACGACAAAACTGCTTCTCCTGCCGTTTGCGTGCAAACCTATGCTTTCTTTGAAATGTTTCCAGCTGTGCATTCTTGCTACTTTTTAACGACAAGGTATGTGAAACCAAACAGAAAATACTTTTCTTTCAATGTTTTCAATCAGCATTCCAAGACCTCGATGGAAGACCCCAGAACAGAGTATGACATCATCGGAACTTATAACAAAATTTTCATTCCCTTCTCGACTAGCCCCACGGTTTCAAAACCAAATTGAACAGATTTCATTCTTTGCTCAGGTGGAATGATCTCTTTGTTTATCAGGGTAGGGGGGACTATCATGTCCTCGCCGTAAAAATTTTTTACCAAGGTCATTGAAATGATAGTACGGGCTTTGAATTGTTTGCTGTGTAAGGAACGTGCATCACCGTAATTTTAACATGGGACATCTCCCTTCCCGAGATCTCTACTCGGTTGGCTTACGGAAAGGTCTTCTCTTTCAAAAATTTTTCGTTTAATCAGTCTTTCTTTTATCCTTTATCAGGATTTCACAAGGATATGTCAATGCTTTTTATTCGTCTTTTCCAGCAGACGGTCGAGACTTGTCTGAGCCGCCTCGCATTTTGACGCAAATTGTGGGCGGTTATTTCGCTTCTGGAGCATCATCGTTGTATTTCAGACAAAAACTTTGACCGATAATCTGGATTAAATGTGACAGTCTGGTGCACTCGGCTTAAAGCCGACGACTTTTAATTAATTTTTAATCTGCAGAAAGTTCGAACCTTATTGTCTCAAAATTTACTCGATTGAAATGTAACCTTCAATCGCAAGGCGATGTTTTACACTCCGTAATATTTCTTCCGACAAAACTTGAATATTTTAAACAACTTTCGGGCTCCTGATTTCTCCCAAGCAGAAGTTATTCTCTATTTGAATATGTCTCGTACGGACTGTATTGTTGGTAGTACTCTTCATCAAAAAGCATTGAAGAGAACTTGTATGTGACTCAAAGGTGATCGATCATGAATTTGATACTGTCCTTCGAAGATATGTCACAAGCGTTATTCTTAAGTTTCAGCGCCATCTGAAAGAAGAATGGGCAGTGTCGCGGTGCGTCCAAGCATCTCATTTCACCACAGAACGCTACGATTTTGCGTTCAGCTATGCGATAATCTATAGCCTGTTAAGTCATCTCACACCTGCGAGAACATTCAGACAACAACTTGAGTGCCAGGTCCCTATAAAAAACAATTTTGGGAAGTTTGAACTTTTTGAACCATTAGTGACTCTGAAGATTGCTTCTTCGTTGATCCATTCAGTTTTTCACGACACATACATGTTTCTACACACGTCTCTTACTGAACCGACCCCACACACTCAAATCTACAATGTCTACGTCAGGTGTTTGAAATCAACTTGCATCAGTGGTCAAAGATAACGATAGCGCTCAATTTATTTTTAAACGACTTTATAAATGCCCACGATTACTAAATGAGCATTACAAACGTGACTTCAAGTCTGTTTTAACTTCCAAGTGTGAACCTAAACAGTGGTTTCTCTTAATTTATCGAATGAACCTCGGTCTGATTCGTGCCAATTAATCCATAAAACGCCTTGACAACTGTAGATCACAACATCAGTGTTCAAAGTGCCGTCCTCTTCTAAAATGAAATTACGGTGGTGACATCTTCAAAAGAGCTTAAGTTGGTATGAAACCATTGTATGTAAATATGGATACGCAAGGCGCCACAAAGTCTTGTCCTTTCACATCTCCAATACTATCATCATTGATCAACATGCATTATGGGAAAAGATGCACAAGCACATAATGACATGTCAGTGACAGTTCTTACTTCAGCTATAAAGAGCTTTAAGTCTCGATTTGACGTAATTTTTTTGATTATTTTTGGTCTACCTCACACTGCGATCGGTTTGGGAAAAACCAGTCATGTGACGCTTTCAACCAATCACATGAAAAACTAAAACAGGTGGTGACTGAAACCATTTGAAACTCGCCTGTGTCATTCCTTGCAATATATAACATTTTTCTGTTTGGCCATTGTCATCACACTGTATCCATGTTTCTGTATTTAAGTGAACTCTAAAACATATATTTTTTTTCCTCCCGTCTCTTTAGACAACAGAGAGAGTTCTTACTTGCACGCTATAACGTCTGCAGGAGTGACCTTCCAGATAACCAAGGGCTGCAGCCAGGGAAACTGGGATGACTGTGGCTGCGATTCTAAGCCCACAGGGAGAGGAAAAAAAGAAGGGGAGTCCAGCTGGGAATGGGGTGGATGTTCGGAGAACTATCGGTATGGCTACGAGTACTCTACCAAGTTTATGGACCCGGGCAAGAACGCCGACAAAACCTTATCAAACCATCTCGTAAGACACAACAATGAGGCTGGAAGAAGGGTATGTTCAATTTTTTTTTTTATCGTTTGATGAGCATCGCCATGTTATTTTAGATGTTATTCTTAAGAACGTTTACTCGTGTCAGTTGATTTTGTGGCTTGTAAAAAGGATAACAGTCATTAGAAATAGCAAATGGTTTTGCGGTTCTTTATAGCCAGAAGAGTGCCTTGAAAATGAGGTATCAGGGAGCACGTGACAGTCGAAGTGGTGCAAATGAACCCCTCGCACTCTTACATCAGTATGCATATTCTCCATACTGTTCCCCGTACATTTCGTAAGGTGCTGACAAGGAGAATTTGTTCAACAATCAAGAACTTTATTCGTTGGGGATCATTTCTTCAATTCTCGAGACCTTTATGCTTGATTCAGGGGTGACAATGTAAAGAGAACTGAGTTAGATGCTAATCGAACTTAGGAATTAATGGGTTAAGAAAGTCAAGCCTCGTCGTTTGTGTCATTCGGAGTGACTACAACATGAGACAGATAACTTTACTTTATTTTCGTAATACCTCACTAAGATGAAGAACATTACCCACAACCCTGTTTAATTTTTATGGCTTTACGGTGCAAGTATGGCCGCACAGACTTCCTGCGAGAGGTAGACCTTTTCACAGAAGACAACAAATATGAAAATGATCTACCATAGTTAAAATGCAGTTAGAAATTTATGCGGTTGCTCGGAGCCAGTGCGCCTCCGTTTTGAAGTCCAACGTTTCTTTCCCAAAACAGCTAGTTATTGGTATCTATAACACCGAGCTAAAAGTATGGCGGTGTTACTCAATAGCATAAGTTGACTTGCAGAAAATTAAAGTAATATCATGGCTGCATAACAAGGCTATTAATAACCCTACAACTTCGGATCTAACGGCATTTCAAGGGTTTCCTTATGAAGTGTGAAGCGCCCTCCTATCTGCTGTTCGAGGGCATCGCCGACTTGGGCGTCGCCCATGCTAATTCTACGAACAGGGCGTGTGTATGTGCGGTAGCTGCGGCTTCCTGTTTTATGTAACCGTAATTTTCTGCTCTTTTCTTACCCATCAAACCACTACCCAAACTTCAGGTCCGTTACCAACTCGTGAAGTATTCCGCTTTCAAAATGTTTCCGTTCTGTGGAAAAATGGTAAAGATGCCTTTGACTTTTCCGAAGGTGTTCTTACTAATAGTGTTGCGGTTTGTCGCCTTTAAATCGTGGACACCAGTATGGAGCACGTTTTAATTCGATTTTAGCTTTGTTCTTCTGTGTCGTTTCTCGATCCTTGACGATACCTTTTGAGAAATCATTGGGGTAACCACCGCCCATTACAGTCAAATTTAGATGAACGTAAAAATTTCAGGCTATGTTTTCCGTACCGTGTCCAACATTTATAGGAACGTGCTCATCAAATCCGCTTATTTTGACTACTTTGTCATCTTGTAGTTTGCTTTCCGAGTTACCTCTTGAACGTAAACAATTAAAAGATTTACCTTTGGAATACCATCAATGCCGTGGTTTCCTGACAAACAACTTGTATCGAAGTCTCGTCAAACAAGCGCCGCTTTTCTAAACAGTTTGTTTGATAAGCCGCTATATCTGATGTGATCGCTTGTAATTAGTGGCTATGTTTTTTTATGTTAATTTTTGATAGCTATTTTATCGGCAATTTTTTAACACGCGTTTAGTTGTACGAGGAACTTCAAATGTTGGCCTGGAATTATTTTGAATGTCCCTTTTTGCAGACTGTTGAAATATTTTTTACCTGAGCTATCCTTGCTACGTTTTAGTTCATTTCTGCCTCTGTTCCTATTTTTTTTATCTCTTTGCCATGTTCCGAGCTCCAAGTCGAAAATTATTTCCTTTGTCACAAAATGATTTATTAAACTATCCAGACTCTTCCATTTAAGTCGGCTTAAAGCACCCTGCAGTCGGCGAAAAACCCCTGGACGTCGGCTAAAAACCTCTTGTAGTTGACTTAAAATCCCTTGCAGCCACATGAGAGATGCGGTTACCCATACTAAGTAACGAGTTTTTAGAGCATTAAAACACAGCTTGATAGAAGACCACTAATTAAAAGCTTTATTTTCAAGAGCCACACTCAACAAATATCAGGAAACCATGAGGTCATCATGCTAAGATGATTACAGATGACGGAGATAGACCTTTTTCTATAGCAATGAAATAAACAAACGTAAAAAATGGAAAGAAACTCACGTTTTCAAAAGCCTTAAATTCCTAGCGCACATATGTTTTCTGTCTTTTCTATGTCTAGGATAAGATTTAAGAATTGCTTTCAAGCTTGAAAACTACAGATTCAGCTTAAGGAATTGATCTTTGATGACTAGATCGTCAAATGCATCAATATAATATGTTTATAGGGGCAGTCGAGAAGATGATTGCTAGCATGTTCTGCTCATAACTATCGCAAACAGAAAAGAGTAATTACAAGCGAATGCCATAATTCTGTAAACAATAATATGAGCTGAAATCAACGTGACAAATTCCTTTACAGTTTTTAAAGAGAATTTACGACTTCCGTTAAAACATCTTTGTTTTCCTCGGCAAACTAAAGAAGCGAAGAAAAAAACCTAAGGAGACATGGAACACCTTTCCCATAATTAGAAACTAGAGCGGCTATTTAAATTCTTTGTTGTGCGGCGGTTTATTTTCAAAGCTTCCAACTACATTAACAAGCATTTGATAATTTTATGATTCTTAAGACCCAGCGTGGGTCTAGAGTTACAAATTTTGCGGCTTCCGACGTAAATCGAAACAAATTTGAACACGAGGAAGGAGGTTGACCCTTTTCCGGCTGCGACTGTCGCGCGCGTAAAGCGACACCCGCGCGGAAATTTCGTGGGCGTCGCCCGTTCAGCCTAATCGCCACTTTCAGACTTTGGTTTTCATGCAGATAAAACATGATTATCGCCTTCTCTACGGTCTTCCTATAAGGATATTTGTTCATCAAATTTTTGTCATTTCCTTCTTTGTAAACCGCTGTGGCGATCATCTTGATATCACCCCCGTAATTATCAACTGTCCGCGCAATAAAGGTTATAAATAATCTTCTTATTCCTAAAAGCATTCCTTCGCTTATTCGATAGATTAAGAGATTTTTTAAAAAGATCAAACATGTCCAGTGTTTCAGAGATCACTCAATACTTAACTTTGTTATATGGCTAACAATTAAACACTGAGAACTCTTATCAATGTGTTTGGAATGACTTTTTTATTACTTTTACCGTGGTACGAAGCTAATATTTTGGTTTTAAGGTTTAATACTCTGTGTTCATTCCCTGATATGTTTTAAGATATGTTTTAACCCTTTAATGTAGGCCACAATAAAATAATGATCAGAAGCCGCTTCCTAATTTTTGTTGCTCCTTCAAAAATTAAAGAGCACTGATAATTGTGTATTTATTTGTTTTGTCCGTGTGATTAATTTTGTTTTCAATTTTGTTTCCTTAAATAGTGATATATGCGCTATTATAAGTAACATTTATGTGGGGTTCTTACAACCATTTTGGTGTGGTGAATCCGATTATTATTTATGTTAAATTACTTTTAAAAATTGATGAACTTTTCGAAATTTGGAGCCATTTTCAATTCACACAGTATCATTTCTGTGCAGCCTATAGTTCCAATAAGTAAGCAAACATAGGTTTTTGCTACATTTTATTTTCAACCGAAAGCATAGCAATAGAAATGGTGCATTTTCGGTAGAAGAACAAGGATCACTCAATTTAGTTTTGTTTCATAACGCATCCACCTTTACTCTGTTCTAAACCTTCTCTATAATCAAATAATCCACAATGACACGTGTAAGAATTATCTAAGCTTAAAATCACGGTTCGGCTCGTTGCGTTTTGCAAAACAATTTCTTTATTAGTCAGCATTTCTAAATTTTAATTAGGAGCTAGTCGATCCATTATTTTTTATTTAAAAATCACGCCCTCTTGTGTTTTTAAAGCGATATGCCTGAAGCATGCTCGCCATCAAAATGTTTGCTTTTTAATAACAACTCAGCGGGAGAGGATTGATTTTAATAGTGTGAGTTCTTCATAAAACTATAAGATCTTGTTCCTTCCCAAACAAGAGGTGTGTAAGTGGTTCATTACAATAAAGGAAGATTCAAAGTTAAGAGAAGGTTGATTAGTACACAGATTTTCAACTTCGAAAACAATTCACAGAATTATGTATGGATAAATTCGCACGGATCCTTATGTCAATATTCTCCGTCGCCACAATTCCTAAACCCTCGGGCTGTTGTCCAAGGTTTGCCTAAGTGAATTGTAGACTCCAAATTTAATTAAAGTCTACTAAGCGCCTGAAATGTGTATCTAACAATATCACAGTTTTACCACATGAGGTGGGAAATCAGGTATTGTCCTTAAAAGGATTCGAACTTTCTTCTGCGACCTCATAACAGTGATTATCCTTCTTCATGAAGTACATTGCTTTTAAAATCAGGAATTCCATCTTATTAATACATGCGTGGATCTTTTTAACCATTTGTTGAGAGAAGAAAGGAATTTTACATTAATCTGTTGACTGAAATCGTTGCCTAAATATGTTTGATTTAGGTATGTTTTTTCCCTTTTTATCTTTCTCAATATCCGACATCATCAATCAATGTTTAATGGCCAAGGACAACTTATTAACATTACAAACTCATTTCCTTTTCAAGCACGCAATTTGAAAACAAATATTTTTTTGTCTCCCGCAGGGCATAAATTTTCATATTGATATTATGGTTATTTCTTCAAAATGTCACATACTTCCTTATAAACAATATCTGGCGAAAACAGAAGACGAATTTTCTGGAAAAACCCAGTGGCGCAACTGAATTACTATTTTCCGCTCCTTCTTGATCACGTTGTGTGTACGCCATACTATCTACCAAAAATTCCAATGAGTACCCTCCCCCCACATTTTCGTCTCGTCTCGTTTTTTGGAAAGGAGAAGTCTGGGTGAATGAAAGATATCGAATTTGCCAATCCATGCAGATCTGATCACTGAAATTCAATGTGGCTCTGAATATGAAATGTAATATTTAAACTTAATTTTAAAAAAAACAACAACAAAAACAACAACAAAAGCCGCAAAAGGAAAATCTTCATTTGCTAGTTGGAATTGAATGATGGAAAATGTGGCCCCGAACTTGTTGGAGATAGGGGAACATTGAGCTGAAATCAATGGCGGTTCTTAAATAGAAAAGCGTCAAACCATCGTATCCCTCGAAGAAATAGCTGCTTTGTTAAGATGTGAATCTACACTCCTAGACATTTTGACGCAATGTTGTCTCTCCTATTCTACTTTTCTTTATTTTGTTTGAAATTTGTGGTTTGTCTTTTGTTTAAGGTTATCAAGGATAACATGGGCAAAACTTGCAAGTGCCATGGTGTTTCTGGTTCATGCACTGTCCGGGTTTGTTGGCGAACCATGCCTAAGATGGAAATAGTTGCTTCCATACTACGAAAAAAATTTGATAATGCTGTGAGGGTGAAACTAAACAAAAACAAAACCAAGCTCACGAGGACGCCTCGACCACGAAGAGGCCGGAAAAGGAATACAAACAACAAAAGACCCCCGTCGGCAAGTCTCGTTTATGCCGCTCTCTCGCCGGACTTTTGCCGAGCTGACAAGAAATACGGAGTTCTGGGCACGGTTGGAAGAACGTGCAGTAAGTCATCGCTTGGCACGGACAGTTGTCCCATGTTGTGCTGCGGACGAGGCTATAACACTGTTAACAGAGTGAGTGACGTCAAATGCAACTGTGCCTTTATCTGGTGCTGTCAGGTGAAGTGTGATTTGTGCAAAGAGGAGTGGATCGAACACACTTGCAAATGAGGCTGAGTGACGTTTTTGGAAATCAAATATGGATTAAATTATCATGTGTTTTTACTCATTATCCACGTGGATTTTAGAGTAAACAACTAGACGTTGAATCTTCATTTTCATGGAACGTGTTTTGGAAAGACAGCACTGAAAAGGCGACTTTATAACTCTTGTACAAGATCCAGAGGACACATATTGACCTCCTTTGAGCCACTGTGATGATTGCAAATTACTTGAAGAGGAAAACTTTTTACCTGGAGCCCAAGAATGGATTGTTTGTTTTAATAGTGTACAGCAGCAAGTTTTTCTCAACTACCACGCATGTCAAGGAAAATTATTTCAAACTTTCTACCGGGATCGAAAAAATGTACTTCTCACGATCACTTTCCAGGGAGAATACTTCGGGAAAAATTGTCAAGAAAAAGTTGAAAATGTAATTTCTGATTATCGTCGCCCAGTTTTTGGGAACAGACCTCGTACAACCGCCTCGTTTCTTAGAGTAGTGGTGTTTGCACAGTGTATGTATTTATGAGAACTTGTATAGAAATCTAAACGTCTGAATTACTCACATACTTTCACAAATTTTTTTTCTCTCTCTGATTTATCCTTCTCAAATCAATTCAGTAAATCAAATTCTAAGGAACAAACTCTGTGCGGAAGACACAACAACAGTCAACGCAGACGTCCGTCATTCTCTCGCGCTAAAAGCTTCTCAAAGTTAGCACGACGTCACTATCACAGTCGCGTTGCTATGGAATCCAAGATTTTTTGAAAGTATTACCCAGAGAGCAGCTGATTTTGAACTGTCTTGTACAAAAAATGCAAGATTCTTATCGAAGGAAAAATGCCAGAATGCACTCTTCTAACTGTGAGGAGAACAGGTTAAGTGATAAGAGGCCTTCAAAATATATCTCTTCGTGTATAAAAGGTTTTTTTCCTTCTAATCTAATGTCACGGGGTTTATAACCGACACAATGCAAAGAACTGTTTATGATATATTTCTGTGTATACGAGCCTTTATTTATGAAGATGACACCTCAGATAGAAAACCGGTGTTTCAACACATTGCATTTTAGAATAGGATGACTAAAATCACAAAAGAAATGAAATAAATCTAAAAAAAATTCAGTTCTTTGGCGTCCTCTTTATTTCCGAGGTGGTTTGGTAATCAGTGTGCTGAACCGCAGATCGGGAAATCAGGGCACAAATCATATACAACATACCTCATTCTAATTAGAATTCTACGTACGTACATTTAAATGAATATAAAAAAAAAGATAAAATGATTTTGGACATTCACCCCTAAAATCTTTTTTTGTAATGCAGCATGAAGATATATACTTACGAACTCGTTTGAAAAAGATGTTCAAAGATTCAGTATTTTGGTTAAATATGGAGCAATCTTTACGGTAGTTTTCAAAAGAAAATGACCTAGAATTATTTGAAAACTCCAACTTTAATATAATTCGGATGAGGAAATGGTTATACTTGGGTAAACGGCATTAAAAATCTTTTGAAAAAGAAGAGAGTTGATATCAACGTCTCAACTTCAAGGTAAACTGACCTCCTAGTCAAAACTATCTCCATTGAACGAGGCTATAAAAGCAAATAAATTCGATGGTAACATACTCGCCTTTTTATAAAAATCCGAACCATTAGTTCAAAGTTGTGCTCAAAAATCCTGATTCTGTGGAAAATCAAGAAGAAGAAAAACACCGACAGTCAAGACATGGAAACATTACTTTCATACTGAAGGCGAAATAGAAGCGGATTATTCTAAACTATATTATTATGTTGTTAGGAGGTTTTCAAGGTAAAGGCCTATGCGCCTTAGGGATGGTAACTGCTCAAACCCCCTCCCCCCCCCTCCCCTTAATTTGTTTAATTTTAATCCCGTTTTTTCGCCCATCTATGAGTAAACGAAAAGATATTCCAGGGATAATCACTTACACGAGACATCGATGGGACTGTTTCGTTTTCAGTTATAATTACTATCATTAAAGTCATTATTTCCACCAATATTATGCTTCGGCCTATTTGTTACCACTTCATTTAAAAAGGAGCTTCTTTCGGTTTCATTCCATCCCGTGCATGTAGGAGCCCTTAGGATATAAGCCCGTCCCTGAAAGAACATAATTTTTAACATGGATTTGCAAAGATTCGTCCTTTTTAGCCACATACCAGTGCGAGGGGAAACTATAAGTGTGATTGAGCTGAGTGGCCTGCGGCAAGGGCAAGGTATTGGAAATCCATTGTGAATAGTATCCGCAGGAACAGACGATAAAAAAACGTTAGTGAGAATTTGGGCTTCCCTAGCGATATATAAAAGATTATTTTAAAATCCGCGTTTGTCATTTCTCCAAATAAGGTCAAGAGAACGCGCAAAATATAAGCCTGTGACACCGGTTTTGCCGGTTTGCTACAGAACGAACACGGGCAGAGAAGACAGTAAATGGAACAATCAGAAAACTAGCTTTCTTAGGTCAATCATGTGTCATTTTTCCTTTCATTCTATCCCACCAATTGGAAGACAATTCACTAACTTTCTGTGTTCTTTTACAGAAGAAGCGTAAGTTTTAAGAGTCACTGGTCCCTCATGAAGTAATTCTAGTTTGTTTCTAAAATAATTTTTTGGCGTAGAAATTCGCCTTTTCATGAAACCTCTGGAATTTGAAGTGGAGGGTGGGGGGAGGGGGGGGCGAAGCGGAGGATATTTGGGGGGAACGGTGGGGGATTTGTCGTCGTCAACAGAATATAAAAGGGAACTGTAGAAAATTGATTTTGCCAATGGCTGTGACCCATGATTTCATAAATAATGATATAGATGAAAAAATTACGCGCGCCTGTTTGGCTGAAAACGAGTGCATTTTTCATGTAACGCGGTTGTAAAGTTGTAACCTAGTGAAACTTTCAATTAGCCCGCGCGTGCCACCAAAATTTCGTCCTTCTTGACTTTCTGTGATGCGTTTTTCGTGTAGCTTACTAACACTTAACAACATGATTTCTTGTGCAAGTTGGTGTCAATACGAACTTGTCTTTGAACATTTACTCGCGCTTATCAACATCAAACTGCTCTCAAAATCACGTTATTACCTATAGTGATTATCCTTTCAATGGAAAAATAGTTGAAATTCCTCTTCTACCACGATTTTTATAACCTCCATTTTTGTAGCATTTTTAATTAGTGAAATGACCTTCTCTTCAGCCTTGAACCCCTAAGAGTGACTAGCTACCAATTTCTTCTACCGGTATTATCCTTGAATCAAACATAAGGTCATGAGGTGAAGCTCTGGAGAAGCTCTTGATGAGATCAACGAATTCTCTATGGAGAATATGGATACCCATGTTAAGGTGCACAAGGTTAAAAACGTATCAACGGAATGTTCGTTTGGTGAAAGTCCGCTACACATTTATTTACAATTGGATATTTGTGGGTCTGTTTGGCATTCTTAATTCAACTTTTGCTTCATGGTTTTCTGCAACCTCAAGTTCGTCAACATTACTTCTCACCTCTTTCAGTCTTTCCTCTATTGTTTCCACTTTTTATGAAATCAAAATGATTTCTTTGTCCAGCTCTTTGTAGCTTGGACAAGTTTTCTTCGCGACCAGCAATCTCCTTGTCTTTCCTCGAGAGAGTTTCTTCAAGAAAAGCGACCTCCTTCTCTTTAGCTTCAAGTACGCAAATGAAAATTACAGATGCTTAAATTGAAAAAGAGGAAATACATCTATGAAACAGAGAGATGAAATTCTAAATTGTTACGAATGAATCTACTTATAGTTCAAAACTTAACAACGAGACAGTCTGTTTTTATTGCATTTTGTCTCTAACCGCACATTGTTACACAATAGTCTATCACGGAGCATAAAGCAAGTAGCTTACCCAAATCTCATAGAGCACCAGTAGATTTCATTGAAAAGCGATTTCATGACTTTCCAAAAGTAATTGGATACTAGACCATCACAAGCGCGTTTTAAGATGGTCATTCATGCAGTTTGTGCGCGCCATTTATAACCAATTTGCATCATCCCATAAAATTAACCTTTCACGTCTTTTTCAATTATGGCAATGCTCTCTTCAAGCTGTTCTTTTTATCGCTTTGACTGAAAACGGAATATGAAGAATACTTTTTGTTGGAGTTATGAAAGTTGTTTTGGACTAGCGAAACTCGACTAAAAAACGATTAACTATTTCACCGAAGAAAAAATACATGAGATGTAAAAATCTGGCGTCATAATTACAGATTGAGTTTTCTGCACGCGCTTATTTCCGTTAGTGAAGAAATTTGTTCAAACCCGTTTCCAAAAACTTTAGTGTAAAAGAGATTTCCCAATTTGGTTAACCCTTATCTGATTCTCTAGGGAGTGAACTAAAGCGAAGTGCTGATATTATTATTATTAGCTTCTAAATCGGTGCATTTTTGTCGGAAACGTAAATTTTCCGAACAAAATGATCGTATGTGTGGGAGCGTAATTGAATGCTAGCGAGAAATGTTCGGCTGGATGTTTTCCTCTCTGCTCTTTCCGATAATAAAATTTAAGGTTACCGTAAGAAAACTAAGAAACTATGTGCTCATTGAGACACACCCACCTCATTGGCTATGATCTGTGCCCCGATGGAGGCTTCTACAGGCTTGCGATTGTTGTCAAGGCGATTATCAGCGCCACAAACTTCTTCATCGAAAACTCTCTTTGAACAGGACTTTGCTGAAGACCCTTTATCGCCTGAAATATCGTTGCCTTTATCGTCATGCAAATCATCTGATAAATACGAGAAATTCATTGTTTTACTGTTTCACAGACAGCACCGAACCCGAAATGTTATAACGAATATGTGAAGTGTTTATGGATGCTTCCATGGTAACTTGTTTATGCCGTCATCTCTTGACATCACGCCCGAGTCGAGGGAGCAAGCCTGGGCGCTAAAATTTTGCAAGCGTGTGACTTTGAACTTCTGAACTTTAAGAAAGTCGTCAGACTGTTACTTGGTTTAAAATGAAACGAATCTTTAATGTCACGGTTCGTAATTTGTTCTCCGATGCATTAAAAGGGGTGGAATTCGAAAACGGTGGTCCTCCACGGCCTTCCAAGATTGTTGCCAAGGAACTTCTCGTAGAGTGCAGATATATAATGAAGATTGAGAAAAGCAATGTCAACGGCTCAGGCTCGGTTGAGTCATCTGCATGTTAAAATCGATCATCGTATACCCTTTTGTTTTTCTGATGTGATTTACTCAGAAAGAAGTCAGAATTCACATCCAATGAGGTAAAGTTGATTTGGTGCGGTTTTTTGCTTCTTTCTTGAAGAGAAATTCTTGTTTGAAAATAGGACGATTTGTTGAAAAAAGACACACATGCTTCCCTCCGCAAAGCCAAAAAGAAATTAAAAAAACCTTGAAAAGCTCAACAAATGTGCATATCCTTCGCATTTTTTTTAACCTCTTTTTGTGCCAACATCATGTGTGGCAAGCCGACTTTCACTCGAGGCGAATCAACTGCCATTCCAGGCGAATCGACCGGCTTCTCCTTCTTCTATCCCAAACGAGCCGTGATCCAAGGCAGTTCGTCCTCGCCATGTATCAAAAACACATTTATTTTCTACATTTCAGTGAGAAGAATTACCGTTTTAATTAAAACCATAACTCCTTAATGTACTAAAATAACTTACAACACTCTCAAATACAAACTACAATTCAATAATCTATGTAAATGTATCAAATAAGCCTCTTCTATACAGCTCCAGAATTAAATATCTCTTCCGTAGGACAGATACCGCCCGCACACTAGCACACTTTTTCAACTAGAATGTTCATTGCCACGTCGTTATTTTTGGTGAAAGACGATTTGAGCTAAACAAGTGCCCAGTACCGTTATTTTTCATAGTTTCTATTCTGCTTTCGCCTTCACCAACGCCAAACTCATATCATGCAGGAATGTATGGGTTGGTTAAACCGCAATGGGTTGAAAATCAAACTATCTTTGCTAACAGATGAGGACACATCTTTAATGGCCTTTGCTCTCAAAGTCCTTGATCAAGCAGTTTGGAGAAGTCTTGTCCAAGTTTTTTCCCCTGTTTTCTGTAGCTCGATGTCAAGCGTCTCTTTGG